ACCGGCGTTCATACAGTACCTGTATATACATATCCATCATTTTTTGTTTAATTACATTGTACAAGTTTTAAAGCGTGCAGTCAGTCACCGTGCCCTGTACGCCGGCATATTACATCTGCCAACGCTGCCATATTCACCTAACAATAACTCGTTGTTGTGCAAACATTACGGATGACTTTTTTTGTTATTCGTGGATCGTGGTGCGGACACTCTACGCATTTCGTCTCGCGTCGAACGTTTGCATCGTCTCTGTATCATTTGTGAGCGAATTCCATAGAGAATACACAACCCCCCCATCCCTTCACCACCACCACCACAAAAGACAAAGATCCCCCGTGTAACCTCAACAGGCTGATGGGGCAAGTGTGCGGTTGGTGAGCGACAGGGCTCACGTGGGTTGTGTGGCCGGAAAACATGCGCACAGTCGCCTTTGTCTCTCCAGCGCTGACGTTTAATTACAACACCGCACCAGTTACTCATTTGAGGCTGAGGCGACCTAGGGGAGGCCCAGGACCGGTTCAGATAATCGTGACCGGTGTTGTCGGTGGCCGTGGGCGGGTAGTGAACTCGGCTCACCGAGTTCGTAGCGCAGCGCGCGAACCACTGCGCCACCGCTCCCCAGACGACCGCAATACACCAACACACATCAACACACGCCAACAAAAAACAAAGACCCTCCGTGTAGCCTTAACAGACTGTGGGGGCAAGTGCTGTTAGCGAGCACCTATGAAAGCCGGAACGGCACACGAGAGGGTGGGTGGCCAGCACCACGCCCGACCGCCTTTGTCTCCCCAGTGGCGATGTTCTACACAAACGAACCAGGTACTCATTTGAGGCTGAGTCGACCTAGGGGAGACCCAGGTACCGGTTCAGGTAATCGTCACCGGTGTTGGCAGTGAGCGGGAATCAAACCCGGGTCGCCAGGTTCATAGCGCAGCGCGCTAACCGCTACACTACCGCTCCCCACCACAGACAGACACACACACTAACACACAGACACACACTAACACAGACACACACACACCAACACAGGCACACACACACACCAACACACAGACGCACACACTAACACACACACACACCAACACAGACACACACTAACACACCAACACACTAACACAGGCACACACCCCACACGCAGCGCCTAGAGCCGTGAGTGAGCGCGTACCCATGCACACACACACACCAACACAGACACACACTAACACACCAACACACACACACTAACACAGGCACACACACCACATGCAGCGCCTAGAGCCGTGAGTGAGCGTGTACCCATGCACACACACACACCAACACAGACACACACTAACACACCAACACACACCACACGCAGCGCCTAGAGCCGTGAGTGAGCGCGTACCCATGCACACACACACACCAACACAGACACACACTAACACACCAACACACACACACTAACACAGGCACACACACCACACGCAGCGCCTAGAGCCGTGAGTGAGCGTGTACCCATGCACACACACACACCAACACAGACACACACTAACACACCAACACACACACTAACACACACACACACCACACGCAGCGCCTAGAGCCGTGAGTGAGCGCGTACCCATGCACACGCGCACACGCGCGCACGTGTTTCAATGCGCGCTAGTTCACTCCGCAGGAATTCGCTTGTAGAGGATGTGTGTGACCCCAACGTTAGCGTGCGAGTATTCTTCACACTATCAGGAGGGGGGAGCTGTAGAGGAGGAGGAGGGGGGGGTGTTCACTTTCACATACGCACCTCGCTCGCACGCAAATCCGCTCTTGTCCTTGTTTCCACGTGAATGCGACAATGCACGTAACGACGTAAAAAAAAACGCATTGCATCTTAGTCGCACGCGTAGGGATTAGCCCGCCTTATATGTGTACAATATATATCAATAAAGCCCACCCCCTTGCTTTAGCCACTAGCGCACATTGTAAGGCACGCAAAATTAGCAAGTATACATTCGCAGACGTATCCATCACATCCGCGGACACGTGCAATGTGTTTATCCTCTGCGCGTGTACAGGCGGGTACAGAGATGTGTAAATGACTTATACTGTGTAGGAGAACATATAGACTGCACAGATGGACGTTTATAAAACATGCGTGAGCGTATTCAGGTCATGAGCAATTATTATATCGGCCGGGTTATGAATGTTTTGAATGGCGTGTGACGGAACGCTTTGCCTGCCACGTCTCCCGAGTGTAATTGTAAACTGCTTAACCCGTCTTTAGCATGCACTTGAATATTACCTTGGTGGTGGTGGTGGTTGTGGTGGTGATGATTTAAAGTCAGAGAGCATAGAGACCGATTGTTTGTTCAACAGTGCAGGACGACGACAATGCTGGGGATGGTGATGCGCCTTCAGATGCGCTTCTGGGGCCGTCTGGAACGCTCTTCCGTCCGCATTGAGGAACCCACTGGGAGCTGTTCGCTTTTACTGGTAGGAACCTCCTGGTTACACCAGCCCACAGGGGATTATTGTGTCCGTCCGTCTGTCCGTCGTGCAGGGAGGGGCTGGGTGGGGAGGGAGGGGCTGGGTGGGAAGGGGTGGGTGGGGAATGCTGGGTAGGGAGGGTGGGGAGGGGCTGGGTGGGGGGTGGGAGGGTGGGGCTGGGTGGGGAGGGGCTGGTCACCCCGTGGTGCCCTTATAAAACTCAACGTTCAACCTACTCACGCCGGCTTGTGCCCGCCCTCACAGTCGGGCTTATTTGCGGAATACACCACGCCGCCGTTGACCCTGGCCATTGACCGAACAACCCAACGTTCCTACCAGCTCCCTCCGCAGGAATGTGTTAAATCATCGAGATTGAAAACTTTTTTTTTTTAACTGCCTTTTGTGTTTAGTTCGTTGTCCTTACCCCCGCACCTCCGATTAGCACGGCGGACTACGTACGGTGCGAAAAAATGCAACATACGGTACATACGGTACATACACACATAATATACACGTGTGTATAAAAAGGGTGGTTGGCTTTGCCACCTTCGAATCGCACTCGAGCACCGCGGGCCAAGAGACTGAGCCGAGATTTTGGCTCCGGTTGAAAGGCTCTTTTGCCAAAACGTCAATTCAATAAACTAATTTGCATAATAAGACCGCTACAATGTAGTTATCAAGCATGTTTAAAAAATAAAAAAGCGCTGGTTAGATTTTATAGCCAGTTCAGTGGCTGCGATGGGATTTAGTTTAATTTTGGAGCAAGTACCCTATTCTCCGGATTATACGACGCACGGTTTCCCCTTTATTATCAAAGGTTGGGGGTAACGTCTTATAATGCGGTGTGTGTATGTGACCAGATTTGTTTAATTTTCTTGACAACAGGCATGAATCGTACTTTGCGGAGCGCCTTATAATCCGGCTAATAACAATAATTTACTCACAATATAATATACACATACGATTGAAATATACTGCTTTTTTAATATACGGTATTCCTTTTCCTGCACTGCATTAAACACACCCTTCATACTTAGGCATTTGAAAGCTCATCGATATACATTCATTATTTTGGCGAGAGAGAGATATGGTCAAGCTTTTAGTTATGCAAGGAATCCAATGCACGTTTGGAACTTTCACCACACCGATGTGTTGTTGACATATCGCATTTACATATACAGAACTGTAAGTATATCTCAAGCCACTCCCGATATGATGATGATAATGATGGTGCGGAGCTATAGACTGCATCAACGAAATAACATCACAAATCTAGACTCAAAGCGGGATACACATTGCTTCCTTTATTAGGCCAAAGTCCGTCACAACAAAACGTTTATTTTGCAATACAGCAATAGGGAAAGGCAATATATATAGCGAGAAACCCACGGGGTTTGCTGCATTCCATTCTAAGTGTAAACAAGCAGTGGATGTACAACATATGTTGGATTGTCATTTGTAGGACAGATATACGTCTCTGCAGTACCGGATTATCCTAGTAGCAAAAGTAGCATATGCTCCACACTTTCAAGAGCCCCGCACTAACTGCTTTCAAGCTATCAATTCCGGTTCAGTGATTCTGCACTTGCGCCATTACTATAGTACTACTAGCTGTACTACCCGGCTTCGCCCGGGACTTGTATCCACCACGGCCGGCCGCCTTTGTCTCCCCAGTGGCGATGTTAATACGCCACACCAGTTACTCGTTTGAGGCTGAGTCGACCTATGTGAGGTTCAAATAATCTTGATCGGTGGTGGCCATGAGCGGGAATCTAACTCGGTTCGCCGGGTTGGTAGCGCAGCGTAGCGTTAACCACTACACCCACCGCTCCTCACACACACAGACGCACACACACACAGACACACGCAGACACACACAGACAGACACAGACAGACACAAAGACAGCACGCTAACCACTACACTACCGCTCCCCACACACCACACACGCAGACACACACACAGAACACACACACAGACAGACACACACACACAGACACACAGACAGCACGCTAAGCACTACACTACCGTTCCTCCTACACACCACGCACGCACACACACAGACACACACACACAGACACACACACACAGACACACACACACAGACACACACACAGACACACACACACAGACACACACACACACACAGACACACACACACAGACACACACACACACAGACACAGGCAGTACGCTAAGCACTACACTACCGTTCCCCCTACACAACACACGCGCGCGCGTCCATAGGTACACATACACGCGCTTGCTGCAGACACACACATACACACACATACATAACCGCACATACACACAAACACATACACACACATGCATACACACAAACATACACATACATACAAACACACACATACATACACACAAACACATACACAATACACACACACATACATACAGACACACACATACATACACACAAACACATACAGACACATACATACACACATACATACAGACACAGAGACATACACATAAACACATACACACATAGTCATGACCCGGCTTTGCCCGGGACTTGGATCCACCACGCCCGGCCGCCTTTGTCTCCCCAGTGGCGATGTTAATACGCCACACCAGTTACTCGTTTTGAGGCTGAGTCCCTCCCTCGCCACTCTGCCTCCCTCGCCACTCTGCCTCCCTCGCCACTCTGTAGAGGACGTGAAATTTGTATGAATTTACCTCAGAGTGGCGTGTTGGGTGTCGAGGCCTAGCACCGTGCAGAGCCTCCCGCCTTGCCTGATTTTCGCACCCGGCGAACGCTGGGTACGGGTGCCGGTCCCCCCCCCCCCCCCCGCGCTATTAAAAATGGCGTCCACCCCGCGGAGAAAAGTTGCTACTCGTTGCCAGGGGCAACCGCCGTCCAATGAAAGCGGCGAAGGCGTGGCTAGCCGTTGCCAGGGGCAACCGCCGTCCAATGAAAGTGCAGTCCACACACACACACACAGACACACAGACATGAACGATTTTATATATATAGATACTGCCTTCAATTTTTATGAACGACTGGGTGTTTAAGGTTCACGATTTGTCGTATTATCTGGCTGTATAGCAAATGCAAAAATACAATTAATTTACTATGCAAGTAAAACATTGTGTTTAATATTGTGTGTTTTATGGCTCCTTTATAACATATGCTACAGTCCCCGCACTAGCTTAATCCAGCACTGCGTGTCTGTGTAGTATGTACTGTCACACACACACACATCAAGTGATACGCAAATTAATTGATGTTGGCCTTCTGGAGAAAGATAACGCCGTGAGTAAATTTTCACCCTCTAAGGCCAACAACGAACCGGCCATCCCTCGGGCATAATTCTCGTTGGTGGTCTGCCTACCATGTGTGTAGACTTTGACGAACTTAGATTATAAACATATCTCTCCCTAGCCTTCATCAATATCAAACTCTCGCCAGCAGTGAGATCACCAGCGAGAAGAATGCCAAGTCACGTGTGCTTGAAGCAAGTTTCCGTTCAAGAACACCAGTTAACTAAGGATTGAACTAACCATTGTGTGTTTTTTTTATTTTACCAGGTAAGGCCCACTGAGCTATGTAGCTCTTTTTCAGAAGCGACCTGGCCACAAAAGATGTCTCAACGAAGTGGCTTATCACGTGGACATTTATAGCAGCCAAATAACTCTAAACGCATGTTTTTTAAATGTGGAGGGAAAAACCGGAGGACCCGGAGAAAAATCCACGTGACCACGGGGAGAGAGACATTCAAACTCCAAATACACAGGCATGTCGGTGTCGGTGTTCGTTCTGGCTCCGTCTTTGTCGTTGCCTGCCGCGCCGGGGCGACACGTGGAGCCGCGTCCGCCCCGGGGATGAGGACCCGAGGCGGCTCCCACAGGGAGAGCCGCCCCAGCCCCTCGGCACGGCCGATATGAGACGATGGGAGGTGAGTGTGTGAGTGTGCGCGTGTGAGTGCGTGTGTGTGAGCGTGTGCGTGTGTGAGTGTGCGTGAGTGAGCGTGTGAGTGTGTGCGAGTGTGTGTGAGTGTGTGCGTGTGAGTGTGTGTGCGTGAGTGTGTGCGTGTGTGTGAGTGAGTGTGTGTGAGTGAGTGTGTGTGAGTGTGTGCGAGTGTGTGTGAGTGTGTGTGTGAGTGTGTGTGTGTGAGTGTGTGTGAGTGTGTGCGAGTGTGTGTGAGTGTGTGTGTGAGTGTGTGTGAGTGTGTGCGTGTGAGTGTGTGTGCGTGAGTGTGAGTGTGTGCGTGTGTGTGTGTGAGTGAGTGTGAGTGTGTGTGAGTGAGTGTGTGTGAGTGTGTGCGTGTGTGTGTGTGTGCGTGAGTGAGTGCGTGTGAGTGAGTGCGTGTGAGTGTGTGCGAGTGTGTGTGAGTGTGTGTGTGAGTGTGTGTGAGTGTGTGCGTGTGAGTGTGTGTGCGTGAGTGTGTGCGTGTGTGTGTGTGAGTGAGTGTGTGTGAGTGTGTGTGTGAGTGAGCGTGTGTGAGTGTGTGCGTGTGAGTGTGTGTGCGTGAGTGAGTGCGTGTGAGTGAGTGCGTGTGAGTGTGTGCGAGTGTGAGTGTGTGCGAGAGTGTGTGTGGTGTGAGAGTGTGAGTGAGTGTGTGAGTGTATGAGTGTGAGTGTGTGTGAGTGTGCGTGTGAGTGAGTGTGCGTGTGAGTGTGTGTGTGAGTGAGTGTGCGTGTGTGTGCGTGAGTGTGTGAGTGTGAGTGAGTGTGTGTGAGTGTGCGTGTGAGTGTGTGTGTGAGTGTGTGCGTGAGTGTGTGTGAGTGTGCGTGTGAGCGTATGTGAGTGAGTGTGTGTGAGTGAGTGTGTGTGTGAGTGTGTGCGTGTGTGTGAGTGTGTGTGAGTGAGTGTGTGTGTGAGTGTGTGCGTGTGTGTGAGTGTGTGTGCGTGTCTGTGTGTGAGTGAGCATGTGTGTGAGTGTGAGCGCGGTGTACGACTGCTGACTTCACTGAGAGCTATCGTGGGTGGTTAACTTTGAACTTCTTTCACACCGTACTAGCCATCCGTGCTAAGGGAGCGGTGGGGTTGGGGGGGAGGGATGCGTGAGATCATATTTGCATTAAAATCGGTGGCAAGGTGGGGGGATGGAAGAAGTACACGTCGTGGCTGTTTTTGTTGTTGTTGTTGACACTGATAAGAGTTGCATCTATTTATTTTGTTGGGAGAAGTCAAAATGGTTTTACAAGCAAGGATAGCAAACATACGTGATCTATGCCTCGATTCCGTTGTGCGTGGTCGTCAAAAAGCGAGTTTGCCGGGGGTGATTTTGAAATGTGTGCTGCCTAAGGATGTCCAAGCAGGGAAGCCTTGGCAGCTCTTACGTGAGGGTCCTGCCGGAAACGATTGGCCCAGTGCGTCTTGACTTCTTCCCCGTGGAAGTCGAAGAACTCAAGAGAACACCAGGCATACGAGGATTTAACAAACTCTATAGCGTTTAGCTATAGCAACTGAGTTTTTGTTTTTACTTTGTATGGAAAGGCTTTTACAAACAAACTCGTGTGTGTATCTACGCAAGCGAATGTCCTTAAGTTTGGAACGTTGTCCCTTAATGAGCTTTGTTTATTATTATTATCAGATATGAGAATTCTGTCAACATTATTCATATGAATTGGAATTTCCAGTGGCAATTAGGGTGTTATTGACATCAGAAGTACTCATAATTATCGTGAGCCCTGCTTTAAACTTTAAGTTGTTCAATAATTTATTGGGAGTTAATTTCCTTTGGTTGTTATAATGATTATGTCATCGGCAAAATACTTTTTGAACAAAAGTCACGTAGAACAAGTTCACTACACAGCCGAAGATATCTGTTGAGAGTCACACAGCTGGAAAATATATCAGATATATGAGCACCTAAGACAGGATGGACCAAGATTAAAGTGTTGGGAAAAGATTCAAACTAGAAAAAGTTGGGGTGTTTTGTAAAAGTTAATTGATTAATGAACAATTAAGTATTTCATGAGGGCATATTCAATTGACCAGAAACTCAATGATGAAAAAAATGAAATGAAAACTGAAAAGTGTAATGCTTATAATGACACTGAGAGGTGGAAACTCCAGTGGCGCAATCGGTTAGCACGCGGTACTTATAGAATTACAGAGAGATAAAAATAGGAACACGTGGTTTAAAGAACATACACAGGTTAAAGTAATTCATTGTGGTCACTGTGAAAGTGATCTGCTTATTAGTATTACTACATACACGTACATAAACCTGACTTATAACCATGTAAGATGCCACTAAGACAAACGTGTATTTTGCAAGGGAGACCTGGGCTATACTAAAAATTACAAAATATTCGTACACGAATAAATCTGCTTCAGAGAGCGTGCAGGATTACATGTTTTTTTGCGTAAAGAAAATAACAGTTCGGTTGACATTCCTGCAAGGTCAGAGCATAACAGCCATGGGCCAGCTTTGTGCTTTGAGCACTAAGCAGCAAACAACAAAATTGTCCCTGCCACCCTGGAGGAAAGTAAAACGCCGGAAGAAACATTCAATTTTAGATCTCATACTAGGAATGACATACATTTTTTAAAAATACATGTTATTTATTTGAAACATAAAAAACGAATTATCCCCACCCCCCCCCCCCCCCCCTCTCAGTATTTAGCAATGATCATCACCATTGTTGCTTTCATCCACTGATGGAAAATATAAATGGAAAACTACTATGAGAGGATGACACGCTATGTACAAAAGCACAGGCTACATGTAACGTAAAGTTAAATGGCAGCTCTACAGATAATGCTTAAACCGTTTCCATCGTTCACTTTTTTGGGCAAATATTGTACAATTAAATGTTGATTGGCTCAAACGGCCCAAAAATAATAATAAGAAAATTATATTGCATTTTCCTGCAGGAAATTTGTAATTACATGCGATATTATTGTTTCAATTTGCCAAAGTGTGTGGTTGCCCACATCGGTGCCATGAAAGTGTGTATCACTTATTGCCTGCTCGAATTCCTACCAGGGCAACTAATTGCCATATTGCTCAGTCATACAGCGAAATAAACATTAGGGCTATGACATTGTTAAAAAAAAATCACATAAACATGTATGCACCGTACTTTTAAAAGTACCGTAGATTAATTTAAGAGTTGTAGGGTTTTTTTCCAATATATACTGTATATCGCGAGAAGTTGCTGCTATGGACAATGTGAGGATTGAATTCCTACTTTTAAAATTTAGAGATTTTAGTTAGTTGGATATAGATGCCAACTACCTAAACTTGGCATTTGGTTTCATCCGCCATGCAACTTTGTGCTACAATTTCAACCACCTTGTAACGTGCTTATGACCTATTGGGTTTTGAGATAGGTGTCTCTATTGCAAACAAGATACATACCAAGCAAGATGATTGCATGAAATGTACATTTTGGCCAGGGTAATGTACTATTGAAAGATCTGAACGGGCTAAAGTGCTATGATGCACTTGATGACATTTAAAAAAAATGTGATGTGTTGAGATACATCTAAACATTTATTGACTTTCAATAAACACTTTGAACAGTTTTGAACTTACATTGTATTTCTTATTGTAATCACCTTTGCAATTCCTCTTAGTGATATTAAGAATTGTCTGCCTTAATTATATCGAGTAATAATTATTTCATGTAAACGTAACAATTAATATTTTAGGGCACAACATTTTGGTATGCACGACTTAAAACATTTAGTTTCAGGATAATGGATTTTTATGCAAAACAATAGCAATCTTCTCTGCAGCCTGAAACGCATTTTGGTACGTGTATCATAACATCGTTTGTGGCCGGTACAATGTTGAAATCACCATTGCATTTCCTTTATAATAACTAACAAGCTAAGAGTGCAAACGTTCAGTTGATATGAAACATTTCCGTGGGATAAGAAAATATTACAAATACATGTGGCAGTTTTCTCACTCATGGAACTTTTGCAAGATACAATAACAGCTTTGCAAAATAATTCAACGTTAACGTCTTTATATAAACAGTTAAGGACGTTGGAAAGCCAAACTCGTGTAGATAACACAAAATAATCCTGAGTGTAGTTAGTGAATATAAGAGAACAAAATGCATGGCAAACAATAAGGCTCCTTCACATCTGTTCCTCCACATAAAAACAGCACTTTTTTGTTACACATCCCATCAGTAATAGGGCCTTCTACGAGTGTATAATTTCAACAGCATTGGCTCAACACAAGCAAACTCTCTAACCCAAAAACCTCTATTATGTTAGCAAACTCTGCACATATTTCGACATTCAGTGCCTCTTCAGCAGTCAGGCTTGATTGGACCAACAACCGTGGTGAGCTGCCAGAGATAAGATTGTGCCACTGGTTGGTTTTGTTTAAATACATGTTTGTAGCTTTGTTCGTGAGAGAACAAGGGCTTTATAGCTCTGATAATGCGCTCCATCATATCGCTCTTGACGTCAATGCTACGACGGCAGAGAGAACGTCGCAAAGGCGAGTGTGACTATCTTTGAGTGTTTTTGTTTCTTCTCGTCGTCGAAGCTGTAAGTTTAGTTTGTGTGACTTATTGTATTCTTGGGCTGCGTTTCCATTTAAAAGGTCGATTCACAAGAACGCAGAATGCGTTGGGCTTCGTCTCAAACACGGCGTGTGTAGAAACGAGCAGGTATGTCGAACTTTTTCCGCACCACACGTGGCCATGTGGATCACAGCATTGAAATTTACGAGGCCACATTCCCCTCCAACAATCCTGCCACGTGTTTTCAAACGTTATTCTTAATAGACCACGCCATGATAATGCAAGTGCAAGCAATCGCCAACTCTTATCCGCTCCTTCTCATCTGGGTAATTAATCGCCGAATAGCGCGCACGAGTATTGACAAGAAGACGTAAGATTGTCCAACAGTAGTCGTAACACGTGCGGGATTGGAGCAACATCGTGACACAGGTCAGCTGGAGGGGTGGTGGCCATGTTACCTGGGGGTGGGTGGGGGGGGTAAGGTGCCCGTCATCGACGTCATCACCCCTCACCACCAAAAAAAACCCTACCTAACATGGCGTCGTTTTTTATTTAGGTCGCACAATCCGTGACGTCACAACCAAAGAGATGTGGCCGAGGACCAATGGGAGGCGAGCAACGGCGTTGGTGGTGGTAGGGGGACCCGCGTTTAAATTTAATAGAATGGATAAGCGAGGCGACCACCGATTGGTCGAGCAGTCGGCGCACGTGACCCACCGAGGCTCGTCGAGGGGAGGTGCTCATTGGACGCTGGCGAGTCTCAATGCGCGTGCGGGGGACGAAATGTAATTTGGTTCGCGCGGGCTCGGCCCCCCCCCTGCACCCTTCCCCCACATCCCTGCCCCGCCCCCCATCACCCCCCCCTGCCCCGCCCCCCATCACCCCCCTGCACCCTCCCCCATCACCTCCCCTGCACCCTCCCCCATCACCCCCCCCCCTGCACCCTCCCCCACACCTCTGCCCATCACCCCCCTGCACCCTCCCCCATCACCCCCCCCCTGCACCCTTCCCCCACACCTCTGCCCCGCCCCCATCATCCCCCCCCTGCACCCTCCCCCACACCTCTGCCCCGCCCCCCATCACCCCCCTGCCCCCTCCCCCACATCCCTGCACCCCCGCCCCTCCCCCTCCTCCCACCCCTCCCACCCCTCCCCCCACCCAGACAACTCAGTTACAGTCAAAAACACAAATAGAGAACAAGAAAGAGAGGAGGTAAAAGAAAATAGTGCGCACGAACAAAACACTTTGCGCCCACATAGCAGAGGCAAACGCGACCAACAACAAGGGCACATTAACCGGCGACTCGATGTGGAAGCGACTTATTCGCTTTATTATACATTAGTGACGGATTATTATAAGACGCTACGGAAAGTAAGACCCCCCCCCCCGCCCCCCACAAGGCTGTGCTTTGGTTGGGGTCAATAAAGTTATACAAAGATGTTCTCTCTCTCACACACACACCAACCAGAACTCTGTTAGTGTATCTCCACATGTTGTTGTTGTTGTGTACTGCGTGTTGTAAATCCACACGTGAGAAGAGATATAAAAGAGATATAAAGACGCGCGTGTGTCTGGTGGAGTTCAGAATTGAGTCTTGGGACGTCTCATAGGACGCCCCTGCAGGATTAAAATAAATATTCTGACTATTACATGTTGCTGAAGGTATAAGACGCTGCTCTTGCCGGGTGATAAGACGCGACTTTTGCTGTAAAACTGGGGAAAGATGCGTCTTATAATCTGGATATTACGGAATGTTTAAGTTTAACTGGGAGGGGGGGGGGGGGGAGTGCTGGCAATGTCAATAAAGTTATAGAAAGACAAAGCTCCCCCGTATAGCCTGCAACAGACTTGAGGGGCAAGGGCAGTTGTCGAACAGCAGCCCCCCCCCCCCACCCGGCACGGCAACACGAGGAGGGTGGCCAGCAGCACCACGCCCGGCCGCCTTTGTCTCCCTCGTGATACAAACAAAGACAAAGACCCCCCCTATAGCCTTAGCAGATTGTAGGGGCAAGTGCTGTTCGCGAGTAGCAGCTAAGAAGGCCGGCACGTTCACACCAGGGGGGTGCATGGGTGACCACGCCCGGCCGCCTTTGTCTCCCTCGTGATACAAACAAAGACAAAGATCCCCCGTATAGCCTTAGCAGATTGTAGGGGCAAGTGCTGTTCGCGAGTAGCAGCTAAGAAGGCCGGCACGTTCACACCAGGGGGGTGCATGGGTGACCACGCCCGGCCGCCTTTGTCTCCCTCGTGATACAAACAAAGACAAAGATCCCCCGTATAGCCTTAGCAGATTGTAGGGGCAAGTGCTGTTCGCGAGTAGCAGCTAAGAAGGCCGGCACGTTCACACCAGGGGGGTGCATGGGTGACCACCCCCGGCCGCCTTTGTCTATAAACCTTCAGGGTAGACAAGTTCGTCTTCTGTATGTGTGGGTTTAACCACGGGCTCCATCACCCACGTGCTGAGAGGAGAATACGAAGATGATGGTGCCACTTTTCTAGATGATGATGATGGCCATCTGTAGAAAAATAACTTAATAGCCCATCGGATTCCTCCAGTCTAAATAAAGATTCGGATTCCTCAAACTGCTTTAAACAAAAAAAATATACTACTGTAAAAGGGAGGCAAATTCCCGCTAGTAAAGTGACATGTGCGCTTGTGTGTGTGTGTGTGTCGTTGCAGCCTCCTCCACCCGACGGCAGACAAATAACGTCACGTGAACAAACGCGAAAATTGATTTAAATTGCGACAATCGCCTAACGATGCTGGTTCTAACCACGAGCATAACAACAACAACAAAAACCAAAGTGTTAATTGTTGTTTGTGTGTGTGTGTTGCTCTTCAACGACAACGCGTTTGCGCACGTGGTTGTTGGAGGGTTGCACGACACACAGTGGCATTTTAACGGTGTGTGTGTTGTTAAACCCTGGCGGTCAAGGGAAAGACAACGACGACGATGATGATGATGATGCAGATTTCCTCGCATTCATTGATATTTAGCAGAGAGAATACATTCAATGTGTTTGTATTACTGTAAGGACCCTATTTAAATCCCTTGACATTTCGTATTTTGGGACCGCCACACAAATCTTACCCCCCCCCCCAAACCCCTTTACATTGGCAAAGTTTCTATAGCTAACCCATCCAACTTTATAGATTTACATTCGAGGATGGATGATGGGTCGTTGGCGGGAGGGGGACATGCGATTTGGCAGGAATAACTGCGTCTTATAATGCGGCATGCGTTGTAAACGTTGTGGGTTTAACTCTCCAACACTGAAGTAGTAACTAATTGGCGTGTTTTGTTTACGTGAGACACCCTTACTAATTGGCTGTGTCGGGTGGTGGCGGGGTTTAACGACACATTTATATTTACGTGATCTAACCCAATTGTTTTACTGTGTTGTAAACTACTGGGACATCTTGTGTAAGAAGAAGCAAGAGCTTCGTAGGTTATCGGATTTCTCCAGGATAAATACATACCTCTCATTTATTTAGCGAATTATTGTTACGCGGGGCTTTTACAAAACACGGTTAGAGCACCAGTACACCAGAAAACAAGTAATTAAATATCTATATATAAGTGTGTAATATCGGCGTTGTGTGAGTGAACGTAAATATTCTGATACACTGTGGGGGGGTATGGGGGGTGTGTGGGGGGGGGGCATGGAGGGTGTGTGGGGGGGTATGGGTGTGTGTGGGGGGGGGGGTATGTGGGGGGGGGGGGTATGGGGTGTGTGTGGGGGATGTGTGGGTGTGTATGTGGGGGGATGTGTGGGTGTGTGGGGGGGTGGGGTGTATGGGGAGGGTGTGTATAGGGGTGTGTGTGTATATGTCGGGGGGGGGGGTGTATGGGGGTGTGTGGAGGGGTGTGTATGGTGGGATTGTGGGGTGATGTGAGTGTGGGGTGTGGGTATGGGGGTGTGCGTGGGGGAGTGTAGGGTGGTGTCTATAGGGGTGTGGGTATGGGGGTGTTTGCGGGGGTGTATGGGGAGGGTGTGCATGGGGGTGTGTGTGTGTGGGGGGGTATAGGTATAGGGGTGTGTGTGTGGGGGTGTGTGTGTGTGGGGGGGGTATGGGTTTAGGGGTGTGGGTATAGGGGTGTGGGTATAGATGTGTGTGTGTGGGGGGGTATAGGTATAGGGGTGTGTATGGGGGTGTGTGTGTGGGGGGGTATGGGTATAGGGGTGTGGGTATAGGGGTGTGGGTATAGGTGTGTGGGTGTGGGGGGGGGGGTGTGTGTGGGGGGGTATGGGTATAGGGGTGTGGGTATAGGGGTGTGTATGGGGTTGTGTGTGTGTGGGGGGGTGTGTGTGGGGGGGTATGGGTATAGGGGTGTGGGTATAGGGGTGTGTATAGGGGTGTGTGTGTGGGGGGGTGTGTGTGTGGGGGGGTATGGGTATAGGTATAGGGGTGTGTATGGGGATGTGTGTATGTGCGTGTGTCAATCTGTGTGTGTGACCGCATCACGCCCGTGCTTGAGCGACTATGAGACGACGCCGGGCTGGGAGGGGGCGGGGCTTCTTCTGCTGCTGCGCACGCGCGGAGGGATACCGCGCGGCTGCCAACGGACGCGGCGCGCGCCGCCCCAAACCAAGATGGCGGCCCCGCGTGAGCTGCCGCCGCCTGCCGAGCGCTTAGCAGCAGCAGCGAAGCCGCCTCAGCACTCCCCGCTTACCGGAGCGCCTCTGTGGAGCTTTTAGTTGTGTTTATTATAGCGGACAGAGTAGGAGAAGGAGGGGGAAAGAGATTTGTAAAGAGTTGTTCGTAAGAGAGTGGTTGCGCGTCGTATTAGTTTAGTTGTTTTTGGTGGTGGTGGTGGTTGGTTGGGGTGGGGGGGGGTAGAGGTTGTTGGGTTGTTGCGCTTAAAGTTTTTTTTTTAACAAACAAATTTTCTTATTTTTTTACTGTTGGAAGGGGCATCTCGTAGTCATCGCAGTTTTGTTGTAGTTGTTTAAGTAATAGTGGGTAGTAGCGGAAAGTAACAGTCTTATGTGCAGTGTTGGTAACGACGGCGCTGCGTGAACTCGGCGTTGAATCGGCGGCGGCCAAGGGGCCAAGGGGCCCCGAACTCGCTCCACCGATTCCTTCATTATTTTTTGTTCGATTCGTTTAAAATACTCGGCGGGATTTACATAATCGATAGTTGTTTTTTTCGTTATTATTATTATTTTTTTCAAATTTTTTTTCAGTTCATGGTCCGTGTTGGGATAGTCAAAGAAACTTAAAAGGTAACAAGATGATCGCTACCCCCTCCTCCTCCTCTTCTGTCCCCATCATCATCATCCTCCTCCCTTCTCTCTCTCCCGTCCCCGCTTGTTTTACTTAATGGATACAAAGTTACGAGTTAATCCTCTTAACAATTCTTGTAGCTTGATCTTATTGTTTGTTCCACGATGATAATGTTATTGTGCATAGGCGGCCTTTGGGTGTCGCATGCTTTGTTAAAGTCTTTAACTCATGCGTGGTTGTTGTGGTGGTGTTCTCTGCACGTGTTGCCTTTATACAACTAACAGCTCGCATATACATCTTAGTCACGATTTGGTCTGTTGGATCAATGTATAGTTGGATCAATGTATATGAGAACTCGTTTACTGCATGTTATAGTATTGTGTTTAGCATTATGCAGTAGTTTCAACGTGTATTGTGTACCGTGATATTTTAGAGTAATTAAGTATACAATAACTTATATTTCCACGTAATGTGTGTTCTGTAGAATCGGCTTGGTGTAATGCACAAGAATCGAGTAGTGTAATGCACAATACTACGTTTACAAACTTCCACGTGTGTGTGTGTACAGTGCGTGGATAGTACCGCGTGTTCTATTGTGTGCTACGTTTCATAATGTGACGTGTGAATACAGTACTAGTAATACATTACTTATCTCCTACTGCAATGTGTAAAAGCTTTTCAAATACATTCGAATGTTTAACGTGTTTATGCGGTATTGCATAAGCAGTGTTAGAAATGCAGGCGAAAGTGCTTCCGATTGTCTTTGTGCTGCTGCAAAAATTGATGACATTTATAAAGTAGCTAATGTATGCCTCCTTAAGTATCGTATACATCCCGAATCGTTTCCACCTCGTCCTTTTTACACAAGAAGCAAGTACTCCATTGTCAAAATATGATCTTGTGTTGTCTTGAGTTGGAGAAGCATGTCTTCGTGTGCTGTTCACAGCTGTAACCCGTATAGTTGAGTGGCTTTTTAGCTGTCTTGAGCTGTTTGTGTGGTCCAAGTGTTGACACAATTGTGGTATTGTCCTTGACCATGTGTTTATTAATCGGTGTAGATGTCTTAATTGGCACACGACGGCAGTAATACTACTACATGTGACTGCTCATCACTATGGGGTCTTTAGTTAACGGGTCTTCATAGCTGTAACCCGTATAGTTGAGTGGCTTTTTAGCTGTCTTGAGTTGATTGTGTGGTCCAAGTGTTGACACAATTGTGGTATTGTCCTTGACCATGTGTTTATTAATCGGTGTGGATGTCTTAATTGTCACACGACGGCAGTAATACTACTACATGTGTCTGCTCATCACTGCGGGGTCTTTAGTTAACGGGTCTTCATAGACTGGCATCAACATGGTTGGTATTGTCTGGTCGTGTAAGAGGGTTCCGTGTTGTGTTTTAGCGTTGTGTGTGCATTGTTTATTTATCTTTCTGTAGAGCCTATTTTTCAGAGTGTGTGAGTACAGCGTGGGTGTTGTTCATACTTTGTGTGTATTCAGCCGTGTTCTGTTGGTTTTGTATGCCCCCAGTACAGTAAATACATGTTCCATCTCGCGAAAATACGGCTTCGTCTCGTGAAGCCCCCGTAATTATTTCGTTTTGCTTATATATAATGTTATGTAATTGTGTACGTGTGTGCTTCTATGTATATATGTGTATATAATGCTGTCTGGTTTACATGTATTGCGGGCTGAGCCCGGACCGATTAGGATATTACACTTTGCAAAATTTGGTTAAGTCACAAATTGCTCGAATGTCAACGGTGGCTTGTTAATAATAGCGATGTTATTGTGCGGGTGTGGAAAGTTGTATGTAGCTTTGTCAGTGGAGGATGTGTGGCGAGCGGTACAAATAACTTTTACTACTTTTACCGTGTGAACAAATGTGTAACTTGTGAGTGCTGCTGCTGCTGTGGAGTCTTGCGAGCCCTTTAAAAGCCACAACTTAAGCGTAAAATCAGCTGCTGTGAACGTAACCATACTCACACGCACACACCATTGCGCCTTTCGTGTCGAGTCAAATGTTGTGAATTGTAACGTTTCATGCATGGATTGCGAGCGGACGTGACAACGGGTGTGGGTATAGTTTTGCGACTGTCGGACCGGGGAGAGGAAAGAATGAGGTGTGACAAAAAAAAAATCGTCTCTTGTGAATTGAATCGCAGTTTTCCCCGCTGCCATAACTTAACACGGCATTGGCCGCGTGCGTAAAACGCGCCAATGCGAAGTGGCCATCGGCTTCACCGCATGGCTGGAATAGAGCCTATCGTGATGATTACACGAGCGGGGGTCCCCCCATCCCACTAGATTCATTCTTATTTGCTCTGTACGTGGATTTAAAGCAGAACTGGTCTTTCTGTCCGTTATGTCTGTTCTAGGGGGTCGCGTATAATTGTTAAACATGAATCAACCGGCACAGCGAATGGCCGCCATAGGGACGGATAAGGAGCTGAATGACCTGCTGGATTTCAGCGCGGTAAGGAAGGGCGGCTCTCACCCCCTTTTAAGTCTCGAGAAACAAACAATTGATTTGCTCCGGGCGATGCCTATCAACATTGTGTTAATTTAATTTATAAATGTAATGCAATTAACGGGTATAATAACCTCATTGTAGCGCAAACCCAATTGCTCGGATTGTGACGTTATTAAAAGAAAGTCGTTTTTGTTCGTAAACTTGCCACGCCACTGTCGGTCATACTTGTGTGCATAGTGTCAGATGTGAGAGTTTTTATAGCCCTTTTTGTCAATCCACTGATAAATAATGAAGGTATCCCGGACCACGCCGTGTCGGTCATGGGGCTTGTTTGACCATACTTCACCATGCTGGTTCGTGTAGACTCAGAAACCGGTTCATCCATCGATTTTCACTCGCGTTCCGAAGAGGAGGAATTTACACATTTTTAATGACGGAAGATTGCTTTGTTGTGATTTTTTGCCAAGAAACACTACTGGCAGTTAAAAAGTGGGCATGTTAGTTTACACCGCTGGCTCTCATGGCTTTGGCATGTCGCTGTTTAAGGGAAACTGATAACGAATGAGCGAGCATGCATTGCAAGTAGTCTTCCCGATACCGCCAAAGTTGTTCGTGTCGGAATGGGACGCATAGGCATCGATGCATTTCATTGCAGCAACTCGTTGAAGGACGATATTGTAGCGTGCAACGTGTTGTTAAAAACAAGTAGTTTTTTTTAAACCCAGCATTTACCTCTGATATTTAGAGACAAAAAAATATCATCTTGTAAAATACTCGTGGGTCTTGTTTTCAAAGCAGGTTCGTAAAACTTGTCGGTGATGCGTGTATCAGTATACATGCATTGTGTAATATGGAACATTGTTAACCGAGGCTTTCTACGAAATGAGCCACCCGCTACGCATACAAACAAGTACTGATTCAGATTCGTGTAGGTGAAGGGAGTCTTAGAAATAATCACATGAGCAATCACTCATCATTTACTTTAAATAGAAACATGTGTACTCACGGACCCAGTGGTGTTCCATCTGTGCTCCCCGTTTGTAAGAGTGAGCCTTGCGCATGGCAGCATGGTGGCTGAAATGCTCAGAGTAGTTCAGGCGTGTTTGGGACGTGGGCAATGTGATTTGTAAGGAAAGGGGGAGGCCAACATGGGTTTGCATGTCAGATGTGAGTGCAAGAGTGGCCATCCCGATGTGACTAAACTGCGGTAGGGCATCGGCAGCATCATGGACGCGCCATCAGATCTTTCGGATAAAGTTTTGTCTTTGGAAGTTGGCGAGAGTAGCGCCGAGAAAGCGTTCAGTTTTGTCTGATTTAATGTGTCGTACCATGTGTTGACTGGTCGTCACGTGCAGTGGTTTTTTTTACCTCCACCTATTGCTTTTCTTTCGCATTTCCATGTAAGTTGTCTTAGAGATGTAACGCCAACCAACAGGATTGAATAGCTTTATAATTAATTGCATACAAACATCCGGTATATATTATAATTATGTATACTGTGAATATACACGTAATGAATGTGTTGCATATGCGTTAATGTGTTGTATTTGTAGACGATCTTTACACAGTATACGTTGTATATATTTGGTTTGCACGTGGCATACATGTACACATGCAATGTAAGCTGCATGCAATTCTTCCATATACAGAGTAGGTTTTCAAAAACTTGACATACACTGCATGCAGGGCATTTAAAGATTTGCCGTTGTTAGCATGTGCTGTCAGACCACTTGAGCAGAGGGGGCTTGGCATTGGCCGACTTTTATTTTCATTTGTGCCATTGCATAAAAATGAGAGAACATTTTTTCATTGAAATCCTCCAGAGTATTAACTTTAATGCTTTAATTGACGGTTTTCAACCCGAGCCAAATATATGCCGCCATCTTGGAAATACGCATATATGTGCATGCTTATGCTTCATGTACCGTGAGTGGTAAATATTTGTCGGTGTTGTATTTGTAAAATAGACGTGAATGGGGCTATAGCTTTTTGCGCTAGTTTTGTTCGGTAAGAAGGGCCCCGCCGTGGCACATTTGTGTTGGATTTCTCAAGGTGGTGATGCATATACAGTTGTTTCAATATCAGTTGGCAGTGCGCTGTTTTGTATCGACATTTCGATTTCAATGGCTTATGACTGCGGCATTGGCACGGAAGCCCCGATCTCTTCATCTGCACAAGCTTTCATTTGCATATGTAAATTGGGCCCATTTTAATTGACCTTTAACAAACAACATCAATAGAGCTGATGAATTGTCTTGATATTTAAAAAAACCATTAGAACCACCAGCACTTCTGTTGTGATTTTGAATCATTTGCATATTTAAATGAGATTTTAATTTGCTGATACATATTTTTAATGCAAGACTTGCTTCGAGATTGCTGCATGCTTAATGCTTTCCCACGCTTAATATGAAAGCTGCTCGCAAATATTCTTTTGATTGTTTCTGTGGACAGTGACATCGTTTTCTTTTTTCCAAAGTGACCAATTAGAAATGCATTAAGTGTAAGTGTTGGACAAGTTTGAATAGTTATGCTCTTTTATTAAATGTAAAATACAAAGCCTTTCCTGGTTTGTATAAAATACATTTTAACTTTACGGTAAAATTATATAAAAAATATATTGACCTTCAACATATTTGTTGGGAAGGAGTTAAATAAAATGAATAAGTATAAATGTAAGAAATTAACATGTGGCGATAAGTCTACAAAAAGTTATTTCATGAATGCCATTGTTTTTGCTATTGCTCAAATTGCCCGTTGTCCGGGTTTTTTGCGCTGTGCCTGCAGATGTTCTCTCCTCCGGTGAACAGTGGGAAAAGTGGACCAACCACCCTGGCGAGTAGCCAGTTTGGCGGACCAGGTATGTACATGCGGCCATCACAGGAAAGACACATTCCACCGGTGCTTTTATATCAGTGCAGGCATGTGGATAACACTGCGTGGTCGTGTGGACAAACTGCGTGAGCTGAACACCTGATTCCCACAAGCTACGTTGTGGGTTGTGCCATTTGTGGCCAGATATGAATGCATTATTGCCTGTTAATTTAGATATTTTTGTTGTTGCGTGATTGTGCAGGGATGCATCCTTTCTTTATATTTTTAGTCCAGCTACGAGTAGGAATGATGGGAATTTAAGTAATTGAAACAGATTCGTAATGCACTATCACTGAATTGCATGGAAAAAATATCTGGGCATGGGCTAACAAAAGCATCCAATTCTCAGTTGATAATTATGTTAACTTTGTATGTAGGTAACGTCTCCCATGGAGAGTTATAGAAAATCCAAGATTTCATTTTTTCATAAATTTGTTTTTTTTTTCGTCAAAATTCATAACGGACAAGCCACTCTAAAATATAACAATACAAAAATGATTTCCTGATTCCTTTGGTGATATACAATAAACATATTTTAACTATTGTAACACATCTTCATAAATAAATATAAAGCCAATTATCTTGTACAGTGGCAATCTTGCAGTTATTATCAAAACAAATTCCAGTCGTTTTTAATGCCAAAGCTAATAATTAGTAGCAAAACGAAATGTCCAAGAAACATTTTCATAGCATAATAGTTGAAATAATTTGTTTCTATTTTATTTTGAATTATAGTGGACAAATTCCACGGATTTTTTGTCCATTCTTTGCGGAAAGTGCAGTTCCGTTGGATGATGCGCAGCATGCACGTCTAAGCTTGAGCAATCATGATCCGAGATCAGTCTCGCACGCACATAGCAGGATTAGCGTAAAAGCGTACACGAAACAAGTGTGGAAGAATATTTTTTTGATGAATTTGTGAATGTAAAAATAGTTATATTACTGTACGAATATATTTTTCTAACATTCAACTCGCACAGATGATTTTGATGGTGTGATGTATGAAAGATTGGTTGCTACCTTTGAGAAATACATGTTTCTTTATGGCAACCAATTTATCTAGCAAATACTCGACAGCAAGAGACGATATAGCAGAATACTGTGCTCTTTAAGTTTCCGATTATTATTGCTGGTCAAGCCAATTGGGATCTAAATTTATATTGTATTATCTGCGCCTCCACATTTATATACCTATGTATGTAGGCATATTGCTTTGGAATTAAAAAATTTAATGTACCTTTAGTTTTTTCCTGTAGGGTAGAGCTTATAAATCTAACATTTATGAATGCAAATCAGAAAGCCAAAAGGTCTGGGAAGTTGTTTTCCCAATGTTAAACGTCTCTTTATGAAATTACCCACCTTGCTTGTCACCAATTTTTGTGTGCCAGACTCGAGCATTTTCAAATTATTTTAAATAAAACCTTACAATAGTACATGGTTCAACATTTTTCTGATAATCTCCAAACTTAATTTGTAATATATAGGATGAAGATATAATTACGGTGTGCTTTGAAAATATTACATTGGGAAACTTGCATTGTGCTGGTTTATACATTCTTGAATAATTATGTATATGAATACATTTACTTATATAACAAAGACCTTTTCTAATTTATAAAAGCTAATTATAAATATGTACATTTTTTGTGGGAAACTGGGCTGCAGACACGGTTGAAAATTGATAAGCACGGTTTTATTTGAAAGGAAAACAACTAAATACAGTGTAACCTTTAACCCGCTGCCATCACAAAATAATAATAAAAGTATTAAATTCTTTGTTGCTGTGTTAGCTTGAAGTTAGGCTGTGTAGTGTGCCAAATCTGGGCGCGCGATAAACAGGCATTAGTCATCCTCGTGGGCTGACCGGCGGACTCCACAATTGTAAATTGGCCTGGAGGCAGAGACGTCTCTTCAAATCTGTTGGCAGCTCCATTGGTCATCTTGTCAGTCCTCGTCGCTGTGCTCGGGCATGACATGAAATTTTCTATATTTGCTCTTACACCCTGTGGGACACTCTAATATGTAGACATGGCCATAGGGGGCGGGGGATTGTAATGAAGAGCCTTGCAGGAAATCATTAAAAGGCACAAAAAATCAGGTGTTTTGTTTTCAGAAAGTGAAGTACGAAAGATAGACTCAGATGTATTTATACTAGAGGAATCCGATTAGCTAAAAAGCTCTTTCACATATGAACCATATGGCGGTACCCCGGGGTACCATAGTACCCCGGCTCTCGCATAATGTCCGTGATGCAGTCATGTTTAGTCTGTTGACGGTCGGCGGTGTGGCAATCGACTCATCTCGACGAGCTGTACACGATGCACTACGGTGCGTACGAGCGTTCAGGGTTTCAGCGCAATCGTCCTCGCTGCGTTTCGACATCGCGGAGTAGCACTGATTTCGGATTGATTGGTACCCCAGTCGCGGAGTGAAGTACACCCCTGGAAAAAGTGTCCTAGAAATAAAATATTTCATTGCCTCAGCCATTTTGTATTATTTGCTACCCCGGGGTATCGCCATAAGGATCATATGTCTAGTAGAAGTCTGAATAGCCATAAGGACTTCATACGAAATAATAACAATATTTTTATTAAATGCTTTGGTAATGTATGTAAAAATCAGTATCCATTGTGGAAGGATTAAAATTGTTTAACATACACAAAACTGCCTTAGAAGTAAGAGCTAATGAGCATGATGTCTGCCGGATGTGGAATGAGTTGTACGTGTGCGTACACGTAAGTCTTGACACCAAAATGCCCCAAAAATTGCAGTGAAACAAATTGTTACTCCAAAACAAACACATTTCCCTGCATCACTCAATGTTTGATTTGGATGATGTATTTCGACTTGAGGGGTGAAAACAACAACTTGTCATCTTTCATATACAACATGAAGTAAAAAAATAATGTATCATTCAAAAAGTCATACAAGGATGACTGATGTTTACAGGGTAAAGGTCATCTTTTTTTAGTCTCAGGTGGCCACTTTGTATATTTAAACCACTATCTATTACAAAAGTCATCTGCACGAATCCCCCCCAATAACCCTCAGCCAGAGGGTATACAACAGCCATATTAAATTACATATCAGCTGCCAAGCTTAGGAGTAAATTACAGATTTAAGAATCGCCACCAATGGATATTTATATCCAGCACCTTTGCTTGCAGATTTACTTGGAAATTGTCTCAGTTCCGTTGAAGTATTTGTTTATTTACAACAATAGTTTTTGTTGACAATTGTCTGCCATCATCGGAGTCCAGATCACACATTTCTAAATCGTCAAAAACTACTAAATGTTTTTATTTTGGGTAATGATGGTGTTTATTGTACATTTACTCCTATAATGACCCAATAATGTCTGTGTCCTGCTCGTGACGTCACTCCACGTCGACCAGCCCCCCTCTTTAATAATCATGAACGGGTTACGTCCTCCGCATGTACACCCCCCCTCATTAATAATAATTAGCGGGTGACGTCACTCCACATGGGAGGGCGAGGCACCTCCTCCCCCCTGCTCAGCGTCAACTTACAACCCTCACTACAAAGGCAGAACCCTCACGTTGTGATCTCCGTCACGCTATTGAGACATAGAAGTAAAAAGGACGTCATGATGAACAAGGGATTATAACCTTGAAATGAAATAGCTCTGTGTCACCGCAGCCTTACAAACGCATTGATGCAATGAATATCACGTCGCGGTCTGCTTTTCGCTTGCAAGTTTCAGATTTACTGCAATACACCCGTCCTTGGACGGGCAAAAGGCTAGTTTAGAATGTTTATACATATGGATGTATACACATAACTCTGCCTAAACCAGATGTTAACAATATTATAATTGTACTTTGTTTTTCATATACTGATGTTCACAAACAAGTAAAATAAATGTATACGTCAATTTTAGTTACCACCTTACCATTCATTCATATTCCACTGATGCATTGGCATGTACGTACGTAAGTGATTGTGAAATAATAAGAAAAGTTATTTGTGCGACTGGTAAGTCTTTATTTGTAGGTGAATGTGTAATTTCATTTTTACCGTTTTTATTGAAAACGCGCTAAATATATGCATTTTTCTGAAGTATCTTAATTTCATGGATGAAATTAAAATGTCTGAACATTTCTAAACACCTACCAAAGACTTGCACAGTGTTGTCATAATAATAGGTTAAAATATTGTAAATGTTTTAATTATTTGTATACTTTATTTATCAACATCTAGCCTGCTAAATGCAGGTAACTCGCCACAATATACGCCCAGCATGATGCAGTTATGACATGTTATGATGGTGATAAAGATGATGTCGTCAATCCCGATGCACCCCGACTGCAGGTCTGGCGCCATACGGTCCAGTGCCATTAAACTATATATTTACACTTTAACATTTCCAATTTAGTAATACCGAAACACGCTTGTAAAATTTGATATGAGGCACTATCACCATGAAGTAAAGGTGGAAGGATGGAAAGATTATCTGATGGACTTGAAGAATTTTATTTTTATAATGTAATAATTCAAAGACGCAAGCGAGCGCGCACTGAGAGCATGTGGATGATCAGGTGCATCGAATTGCATTTAACAGATCGGTATGTAGCTTTAAAACAGCTGTGCTGAACTCCACCATTTGTACGTATTTATTACAAGGTTCAGGGATAGCGTACATTATTCCTGAAAGTTTGAGTTTACTGGTTTGTGAATGTTTACATTGGGCAAATTATTATTTTATGTTGTGTTACCACGTGGTAGACTGATGCATGTGAAATGACTGCATGTTGACGTAACCTACTGCTTGTAGCTTAATTAGCGCTCAAACTGTGTTCCGGCTGGAGTTATATTTTTAACAATGAATTAAGTTGGAAACCGTGCCTTCCTGAATTCCATCATACTCAAGTTTGACTTATGGAGGTTTTACTGTACTTAATATGATTTTATAAGAATTTCTGTTCAATGTAATGGGAAATCATAATCAAAATATGAGCTTAATGT